GGAGGTGGATTGTGAGTGCTTGATGTCCGGATTAACTCCATTGCCCTCCAGTAGGATGGGAGAACTCAGACCAGCCATTAATTCCACATCCTGCTCTTGCCAGGTGCCCTAGAAATGTAGGTAACTCTGCCTGTGATGTATGGTTCTGGGCCTGCTCTGGGAAGATATGGTCTGGCTGAGCAGAGGGTGGCCACATATGAGGATGGAAGGAGCTGATCCAGGTATAGAAGGGCAGGGGAGGAAGTTCAGGGGAAGAGGGCACCATGAGGACTGCAGAGAGGCTGAGCAGGGTGAGCCAGGGTGCAGCGCCATGACAGTCTCATGCATCACCTTTTTCACTGGTTCCCTTAAAATGTGCCCCTCGAACAGCCTCTGCCACCCCTACCTGGGTCTCAGTGCTGGGGGTGATGGTGTTAGAAGAAATCAAGACTGAGGAAATTTCAGGATGGTGGGGCTGAGAATTCCCTGGTGCAGGTTGAGAAAATGCTAAGCTTTTCTAGAAAAAGTACAGTGTTCAACATAGTGCTGCTCACGTTGAGATGATACAAGAGATGGGATCTTCTGTGGCACTTGTAGAGAGCAGAAGAGATAACAAGTTCTCTGGGCATTCTTTCTTTTTTTTTTTTTGGTACTGGGGATTGAACCCAGGGGTTCTTAGCCTCTGAGCAACATTCCCAGCCCTTTTTATTTTTTATTTTAGGATAAGGTCTTGTTAAGTTGCTTAGGGCCTTGATAAGTTTCTAAGGCTGGCCTTGAACTTGCAATCCTACCTCATCCTCCTTAGTTGCTGGGATAATTGGTAATGTGTCACTGTGCCCAGCCTAGCTCTCAATCTTATGGGTTTAACAGCAATACCAGAAAATTAGGAGTTAAAAAGTGAGCCAGTCTTCAAGGCTGTAAACTAAGATAACATGCCAAGAGGTGGGAGGCTGAGAAATCAGCTCAGCCTTTTGAGACTATGTGGTCAGCAGAAATGCCAAGAAGTAGTGGCAGACAGGACAAGGTCACTAAAATCAGACCCACTGAGACAGGACAATAGTCTGCTCTGTTCTGAAAATAGCATTAGAGACTTTCCTAGATTATAAGGGGCAGGTTCCTGGTGGAGAGGGGCAAACACAGGTGTAGAACACACCATGTTATCGTTTGGCCATGAAGTGTCCCCCAAAGACTTGATTCCTAAGGCAGCCATGTTCAGAAATGGGGGCTTTTAGGAGATGATTGAATTGTGAGAGCTGTAACCTCATCAGTGGATTAATCCATTTGATGGATTAAAATTTAAAAGGCTTATTGAGTCATAATGGAAACTGGAAGAGGTGTGGCCTAGTTGAAGAACATAGGTCACTGGGGTCAAGCTCTGAAAGGGTATTTCTTGTCCCCAGCCCAGTCTACTCTCTCTGCTTTCTGACTGCCATGACCTGGGCACCTTTCTGCCACCACACCCTTCTGCCCTGACGTTCTGCCTCATTCAGGCCCAGAACAATGGAGCCAGCTGACCACGAACTGAAACCATGAGCCAAAGTCAATCTTTCCTCCTTTAAATTGTTTATGTCAAATATTTTAGTTACAGTGACGAAAAGCTGAGTAATGCACACCCCAAGGTGGAGACTTGAGATGGGAATGAGATGTGTATTGTGTAAAGAGATGTGACGAAGAAGAGAGCAGTGCAACTAAAATTCCCATCTCCATGTGACCACATCAAGAGATGGAGTCCCTGCTGGTCCTGTAGTTGCTAGAAAAGATGTACACCTTAGCAGGGCATGGTGGCACATGCCTGTAATCCCAGTGACTTGGGAGGTTGAGGCAAGAGGATCACAAGTTCAAAGCTAGCTTCAGTAATTTAGCAAGGCCCTAAGCAACTTAGCAAGACTCTGTCTCAAAATAAAACACAAAAAGGGCCAGGAATGTGGCTTAGTGGTTAAGCCCCGCTGGGTTTAATCCCCAGTATCAAAAAAAAAAAAAAGTATTCCTTCGTCCTTTGAGCCAGCCTGACCCTCTCCATTGGTACTGTGTCTTCCTTCTGGTTCAAGCTAGTCCCCCTACCCACTGCCATGAAGCCTTGACTATGCTTAAATTCTTTCTGGGTTCAGTTTTGTTTCTAATGTCTGGACCCAAGGATCTGAGTCTAGTAACAACAATGCAGAGACCTAAAGACCAAAGGACCCATGGGATCCATGTATAGAGCTGACACCTCCTCCTCTACATCTAGATTCAACTTGGTCAGGAATAAAGGTGACAAGGAGAACCCTCAAACACTGGGCACTTACTAGAGAGACTCTTTTAGATAGAAAAGAATGTTTAAAAGTTATTCAAAAGGCTGTGATTGTAGCTCAGTGGTGAGCGCTTGCTTAGCATGTGTGAAGCACTGGATGTGATCCTCAGCACCACATAAAAATAAATAAATAAAGGGATTGGGTCCATCCAGAACTCTAAAATTTTTTTTAAAACTTCGAGGGCTGGGGATGTAGCTCAGTGGTAGAGTACTTGCCTGCCACTTGCACAGGGGGGTTCAGTCATTCCCCAATACCATTAAAAAAAAGGCTGAAATACCTATAATTAATAGGTATTATTACTATTGCCACCCCAGCAGCAGTAGGGATGAGAAGACTTGAAAACTAAAGATCTCCCTTTTTTATTTCCTCAGAGTCTAGTGTTTTAAGTTTCAACTCTACTATAAAGACCTTTGTGCCGAGGTTGCTGGGATAAAGAATTCTGGAAGATCTCCCCATGCTCATGATTGAATTGAGTTTGACTCCACAGCATGTCACAATTCTTGATTTTTCCAAGTCATCTCTGTTTAGTATCCATCCGCCACATGGGCAGGATATGTAACCGCAGTTTTGTTGGCAGCCTTAGACAGCCTCCAGTCGTCTCAGACATAAAATTGAGAGAAAAGAAGCTAGATGCACAAAAACTCATGTTACATATTTTTCCTTCCTTCCTTCCTTCCTTCCTTCCTTCCTTCCTTCCTTCCTTCCTTCCTTCCTTCCTTCCTTCCTTCTTTCTTTCCCTCCCTCCCTCCCTCTCTCTCTTTCTTTTGTACCAGGGATTGAACCCAGGGGCACTTAACCATTGAGCCACTTCCCCAGGCTTTTTTATTTTTAGATAGGGTCTTGCTAAATGTCCTTAATAATTTTGCTGAGGCTGGCCTCGAACTTGCAATCTTCCTGCCTCGGTCTCCAGAGTTGCTGGGATTACAGATGTGTGCCATTATGATTTGTTTTTATGAAGCTCAAGTTCAGAAAAAAAAAACTGTAGAATTTACATCTTTGAAAAATAAAATACAGAATGGATTGAGGGTGGTGGTAAAGGTCTTATATTATCTCAGCACCCACCATACTCTGTGCCCTCAACAATAGTTCTCTGCTCTTGTCTCTTGGGGGTGATGGTGATGGTGTGGAATTTAAATTATGGATGTTCTGCTCTTTCTGTGACACCTTCCTTGAGTCAAAATTCTTTTCAATCACCATTGTATAGCTTCTTGAATTGTTCTCATGCAGTTTTCAGTTTCTGCAAAAACTGAAATGGAATAGACGATATGATTTTTACAATGTGATAAGATGGTTAACTTTATACATCAACCTGTGTGACAGGTTGCCCAGATTAATGTTAATTCTGGGTATGTCTCTGAGGATGTTTCTAGATGAGATTAGCATTTGAATCTGTATATTTAGTAGACTGCACCCCAATGTTGGTGGTCATTATCTAATCTGTGTGAGGGTCTGAACAGGATAAAATGTCAGAGGAAGAAGAATCCCCTTTTCTTATTGCCTGCTTGGGCTGGAACATCCATCTTCTCCCACCCTTGGACTAAGACTTGCACTGTTAGCTCCCCTGGTTCTTTCTTAGGCCTTTGGATTTAGAAAGTTCAGCCTTCCTGGGTCTCCAGCTTGTAGGTGGAAGATTGTGGGACTTTCCAGCTTCCACGTTTGTATAAGCCTATTCCTTTCCTCATTCTATCCATCCATCCATTCCTATTGGTTCAGTTTCTCTAGAGAATCCTGATTAAAACATGGTACTGGTTTGGATAAGTGTTCCCCAAAAGCCTGTGTGCTAAAGGTTTGGTCTTGAGGGTAGTACTATTGGGAGGTGATGGAAACTTTGAGAGGTGTGGCCTAGTGGGAAGTCCTCAGGTCACAGAGGTGTGCCCTTGAAGGGTACTGTGAGGCTCCAGTCCCATTTCCTTTTTTCTTTGCTTCCTGGCTTGTGATATGAGTTTTCTCTGCCATGTAATTCTGCCATAATGTACTGCTGCTGTGGGCTGCTCACATCAACCCCTATGAGCAGTTTAAGGTTTTCCTTGTATCTTGCCCAGAGTCACCAAGTTTCATAGATGTTATTGTTGAGGTGAGCCTCAATCCACCAATGAATCACCTGCAGGAAGAGAGCTAATTCTATTCATTTTAGGAGATTAAAGATGGCCACAGGTCCTTTGCTACTTCTCCCATTGAGATGAAGGGGGGCCCTTGGATCTGGGGAGCTCTGGCTGGTTGATCAAGAAAAATTGGTGGAAGTGATGCTGTGCCAGTCTTTAGCCCAGCTCCAAAAGCAACTTCCACCTCCTGTCCTTTGGGCCATCCTATGGGAGCCTGAGTTGCCATGTAAGAAGTTTGAATTTCCTGAAATTGCCATGCTGGAGTGGCCACATGCAGCACTCTGGCAAACCACTTAGTAGAGCCTGGTTGTCCTCAAAAAAGTGACAAAAAATGCAAGAGAAACTGTCTTATACTTAGACCAGGCATCTGCCTGCTGATGCCATGGATTGACCCCCACAGATTGTGCCATTTCCACTACAGCCAGCCCTGTGTAAGAAAGTGTGTTTCCCTTCGGCCTCATTCATGCTCTGTGAGTCAAACTTTTGGATTCTTACCAACCAGCAAAAGACTTCAGTGCATTTAGCATAGATGCACTTAGATTAATTCTCCCTCCTGCATTTCTTATAGAATATCCTCAGTCTTTTCTTCTATGTCAGATACTTTAATTAGCTTCTAATCATACAGGGTGCCATTTCTTTTTTTTAAGAGAGAGGGAGAGAACAAGAGAGAGAGAGAGAATTTTTTTAATATTTATTTTTTAGTTATCGGCGGATACAACATCTTTGTTTGTATGTGGTGCTGAGGATGCCAGGCGAGTGTGCTACCACTTGAGCCACATCCCCAGCCCCACAGGGTGCCATTTTGATATTCCCTTTATTGTCATCACAGCATGAAAGGTTTCTGCCAGGGTAGGTAGGTTGAGTGACTGTGGTTCCATATTGGTTATTGTAATAAAATCAACAGATCCTCGTGGCTTGAGTTGTTTTAGATGAGATCAGCTTCGGTTTAAAGGCTCATCTTGTTATTCTTTGTATTATTCTTTGTTTCTGTTATAAAGATTCTTTTACAAATATTCTTTTGTATTTATTTAATGTTTATTAACAAATTATTTTATTTCCAGAAAGCCTGAGCCTTCCTGAACAGAATGGAAATATGAAAAGAAAGAGAAGCTGGGTGTGAGGGCAAATGCCTTGTAGTCCCAATCACTCAGGAGGCAAGTTCAAGGCAACTTAGGGAGACCCTGTCTCTAATAAAATAAACAAACAAACAAACGAATGAATGAATAAAAACGGCTGGGGATGTAGAGAGTACCTCTGAATTTAATCCCTAGTGCTGAAAAAAGAAAAGAAATAAAAAACAGAAGACCTTTATCACAGCCATGTCTTCGCAGTTCCTCTTCAAGTAGGCTGTCTGTTGTGCTATTTAGAATATGCTGTGAGGTCTTCTGCTGCTATATTTGAATACTACAAATTGGGTAATTTATAGGAGGAATTTGTTTTACAGTTCTGGAGGCTGGGGAGTCCAATGTTGAAGGGCACATCTGCTGAGAGACTTCTTGCTGGCAGGGACTCTCATCAGAGTCCTGAGGCAAAGCAGGGCACTTGGTGCTCAGAAGAACAAGGCAACTAGAAAAAGCTCACTTGTATAGAAAAGCTACTCCTGTGATATCCCATTAATCCTTTAACCCAGAGCTGAACCCTTACCATCTAACTACCTCCCAGGCTTCTTGGGCTTCAGGTACCCAGGTGTCTTTTTTGGAACCATCATCCTAGTGTAAGTCCTCCCATCTTCAGAGTGATCACTTGGTCCACTCTCCACTCCAGTCCAATTTGAGTCCATGATATTCTCATTGTTAAGGTCCCGAGGTCTTCTGAAGGCATGGATTTCTCTGCATGCCCACACATTTGAGTGTAGGAATATTTGTGGATTCTGGAATCCATGTGTGGGTGATACAGTTCAGTGGTATTGCACTTGCCTGGAGTCCAGGTATCGGGGTACAGCTTCCTGAGGGGCCCCAGGAACAACTGTTCACCTCTGAGGCCTTACCAGCCCTTGAGTTGCCTCCTGCTGAGGAATGTCTCAGCCCCATGAAGGATCCACCTACCTCACCTGATTTCCAGTCCAGGACACTCTTTCTCCCTATCTGCCTTCAAAGGTCCTGGGCTCCTCGAGACACTCCCCAATACACCTGCAATCCTCTCAAGGAACTCCAGCCTCCAGCAAATAAAAGTCTGAAAAGGAAATTTGTCTGAAAGGAACCTCTGAGCTCAGGGTTCCCTGAACAGAGAGAATCCAAAGTCCTTTGTCTAGGCTTGGAAGTGGAGAGTGGTATGCAAAGACAGAGGAAAGCAGGGTTAGGTGAGGAAAAACCAGGAAAAATAAAACACAAATTAATTTTATAATAAGTGATCCTGTTACAATGGGGGAAATATTTTACTGCTTATTGCTCCACTAAAAACTCTGGAGATGGGCTGCCAAGAAAATAGGTTTATTCAAAAGGCAGCTTTGAGGAAGACAGATGAGAACTTTTTGTTTCAAATCTCCATCTTCAGGGGACTCAGGGGTGTGGAAATCTTTTATAAGAGAGGAGGCAAGGTGGGATGAAATACAGGAAATATACATATAAAGATTTAGTTAGCCCCAGAACATGTACATCTGTGCTTCCTTGGTGTCTGTCCCCGGCATGAGGCTTTTATTCTTAGTGTGAGGAAGCTCAGAAGTTAAAATAATTTGGAACTTTTAATTTCAAAGGAGGTCTGCTTCAAATCCTCCCTATTTAGTTCATTCCTAATCTTAGGGAATTGGGGCTCCATGTCATGTGGATGGTAGTTTATTATTGTTGGATCAGTATATAGATCCCAATGAAGGGACTGGAATATGAGTCAGATATTTATTTCTGAAGGAGGCAAAATCAGAAACACTTGATAGCTCTGCCTAGGGGAGAACTTTAGTGTTAGATTGCGTAAGAACTCACTTTCTAGGACTTCCCACTATTTTTGGTGGAATTTGACAAGGGACTCCACATGATTTTCCCCTGACGCTGAACGATTTCCCATGAAGACATTGCTGATTATTTGCCAAGCACCTTGTTCCCATGAAACTGGAGCCTTGTCCTGATTTTTTTAAATATATATTTTTAGTTGTAGATGGACACAATACTTTTATTTTGTTTATTTTTATTGGTGCTGAGGATCGAACCCAGTGCCTTACACGTGCCAGGTGAGCGCTCTACTGCTAAGTCCCAGCCCCAGCTCCATTGCCTGATTTTTGATATGATTGGTCCCAGGTTTGGAGGGAAAGCGACAGTTTAGGAGTCAGTATCAGAAGACCCCTTTTTAGCCTATTTTAACCAACAGAAGTTTTGGGAAATATTAATTCTTAGGCCAAAAGCAAACAAAAACAAAAAACAAAAAACATCAACAAGAGTAGAACAATCCAGTCTGCATAATAGATTTGCATTGTAGGTACTGGGTATTGCACCTAGAGGTGATTTACAACTGAGCTACATCCACAGCAGAGGATTTTGTTGTGCAGAGGATTGTACCCAGGGTCTCATATATGCTAGGCAAGTGGTCTGCCACTGAGTCACAAAACAGCACCACAACTTTTTTTTTTTTTTCAAAACAGTCCTCTTTTTATTTTTTATTTTGACACAGGACTAAGTTGCCCAGGTTGGCCTCTAACTTGTGATCCTTCTACTTCAGCCTCCCCAGTCTCTGGGATTATAGACGTGTGCCACCACATTTGGCCAGTTGCATAATAGAGTTAAGCTAATAACCATAATCTCTTTAATTCTATCTAATCTATATTTATATAATCAAGAAAATCAACTTGCTGTAAAGGTAGTCCTGTCACATTTCACTAAGAAGAGTACTTGTTAGCATCTGGGTACTCTGGGTAGAAAGTTCAACATATTTTATAATATCTTTACATACATTTTTCAGAACAGTAAAAATTTTGAACACAAGTTATAAGAACATGTATATACACTTAAGTGTATTTTGTAAACTAAGTCACAGTGTAAACAGCACAACTTTAAAACAAAGGTTTTAAAGAAAACCTTTAAAGACCTTATAGCCACTTTTGCCTGTAGGGTGCTGCATACCTGTAATCCCAGAGACTCTGGAAGCTGAGCAGGAGGATTACAAGTATGAGGCCAGCCTCAGAAATTTAGTGAGAGCCTTATCAATTTAATAAGATTATGGTCTTAAAATAAAAAATAAAAAAGGACTGGGGATGTAACTCAGTGGCAGAGTGCTCCTAGGTTCAATCTCAGTACCCCCCTTCCCCAAATAACAAAAACAAACAAAACAAAACAAAACAAAAAAACAGTCTTACACATCTCCTATGCCAAAATCTTAACCTTAAATTTGTCTTAAGATGAAGGGTGACTAAAGAGGGATTGCCCCTTATAACTATAGAGACATGGCTCATGATATCTCATATGACTATAAATAGTATATTCTTTATTTATACTTAGATAACTTAGAAATTTATATTTAGATAGCTTAGAAATTTAGCAAAACGATTTAGTTATCTCTATAATATGTTAACAATCACAATTTACAGCATTAAATCCAGGCTATCAGATTTTTAAAGTGTTAGAATATTTATATTAATAAAATATCATATATTGTAAAAATAGTAGTTTAACCAAAATTATACACCAAAAAGAAGCTTTAGTACAGATAAAGATTTGAATAAACTCTCTTATAGGACTTAATTTTATCTTAAGCAATCAAAAACCTAATAAAATCAGCAGAAAACAAGGGAAATTACCTTCCCCCCCTTTTTTACTTTTCTGCAAATTTCTTCAATGTCTCAATTAATAGAAGAAAAATAGCATCTCAAATCTTCTGCATGTAATTTGTTTCCATATGTTGCTTTGGTTGAGTATATAGACAAAACCTTTGCTCACACAGATGTATAGTTGAAAAGGGGAGGAGTACTTTAGTATCCTTTTCAGCAAATAGTATATATTCTTCTCTGATACCTCCTCAAAATAAGTAGTAGCTTCTTTAGATTAGTTGCAAGGTGGAATCTGAAACCATATTACTGAACTTCTGGTGCTTTTACATTAAAATCCATTTGTCTTTCTTGTACTTTGAATGGTGGTTTCATGCAAGATTCTGTAACATCATGCATCAGTTATTGATTCTGAAGAGACCTCCCAGCAATATAGTCTCTAGAATTGAACAAAACATAGTATCGATCCCAGCTCCATTCCAGAAACACCTCTTCAAACTGGAAGGGGAAAATGGTGGTGAAAACGATGTCCACGAAACAGAATTACAGCTCACACCTGCGGGACAGGCAGGTATAGCTCTGTCTTTGTAAGAGCTTGACAGCATCACCTGGGGCTAGGCTCAGGTCATAGCTTCCTGCTGCCATGCATTTGAGCTCTGGAATCCATTGCCTTTTGGGCTCCATGCCTGAACCACAATTCCTGAAGCTAGGAGGCCACCAACGTAGGAGATTATCTTGATAAAACATAAAATAGAGCAATTATTGTCAAACTGTTGGATCTTAACTATAGAAGCACTTTAAAAGTTACTTTAAATTTTTCTATGATTTAAGCTTTAATAAAAGCATCAAAACGTTATTATTCTATGTCTTCGGTAATTAAAAGTAGAGAAAATAAAAGATTTTAAATAATAGAAAACTGGACATGGTGATTGAGACCTGTAATCCCAGCAACTCAAGAGTCTGAGGCAGGGGGATTCCAAATTCCAGGCCAGCCTTAACAATTTAGCTAGGCCCCAAGAACTCAGAGAAACCCTGTCTCAAAATAAAAAAAAAAGGGGGGGGGGGGGGGGGGGGATGTGGCTCAATGGCTAAGTGCCCTTGGGTTTAATCCCTGGTACCATAAACAAATAAACAAACAAATGAATAAATAAATAAATAAATAGGGCTCAGGATATAGTTCAGTGATAATGAGATAGGGACCTTAATCAAGAGGGTACAAGAAAAATGCTGTCTGGAGTAAAAGCCAAGGAGATGAGTCATATTGTACCTATTTATGATAAATTCCATTACTATAGCAACTCCTGCCACCAGTTCTATATTCTAATTAGGTAAAAATAATCAATGGGGGGGGCTGGGGTTATGGCTCAGCGGTAGTGTGCTTGCCTAGCACATATGAGGCACGGGGTTCAATTCTCAGCACCACATAAAAATATAAAGATATCTGGCCCATCTACAACTAAAAATATTAAAAAAATATATCAATAGGAACAAATAGGGTAAGGTCTTCAATTAGATCTGTGGGGAGGGGAATGAGGCACAGCTTAGCACATAAGACTTGCCCAGGCATTGGGCCTTGAGCTACTCTCTCACTTGGCCCACTCTGCTCTACTTTAGAAGTATACTTTCATTTTCAACAAATCAGTGCTTTGCCTATTCTGCATGTCTTGCTCAATTCTTTGTCTGAAATGCCAAGAACCTGGACCCCAACAGAATCATTTAGGGAGCCAGCTTCAAGGTAAGCACTCCCTCCTTTGGGGTGTTCCCCATTGTATTCACCTAAGCCTACTTCCCTTTTCTATCAGGTTCTCTGACAGTACCACATTCAGACTGAGGAGTAACTGATGCTTCCCAGGGCATCCTCAGGATGAGCACAAGAGCACCTCCATTTGAGTGTTGAGAACTCTGTAGCCCAAATGAGTGGAAACCCTGTAACTTTGCCAGACTTTCTGGCACTTAGTCTCCCTGCCATGTACTTGTGCTGGGTTCCTGGAGATAGCTAGATTTTTCTGTTTTCATTTTAATGCAAACTGCCTTCTTCCTTCTGATCACAATTTCTTTGGCTGTAAACAATGAGACACCTTTGGCCCTTGGCTACACTCTCAGTGGCACAGGTTGGGCAGTTAAATGCTATTAGGGTGCCCCTTGCTTGAAGACTCCCATGACAGGATAATGCCATTGTGAGCCACAGATAAATTTAGTCTGTGCCAGAGTCAAGAGAAAGCTCACCATCACAGGCACACAGTAAAACGATCTACTTACCCCAACTTTGTGGTCACCCAAAGGAAATAGCTCAGCCAAGACTAATCACTTCAAAAATCTTTCTATCTCTATTGTGGGCATTAAACCCAGCCTTATGACTCCTTACTTTTCTTTCTTTCTTTTTTCTTTTTTGGCACAAGGGATTGAACCCAGGGGGCACTTAATCACTGAGCCACATCCCCAGCCCTTTTTATATTTTATTTTGAGACAGGATCTCACTAAGTTTTTAGGGTTTCACTAAATTGCTGAGGCTGGCCTTGAACTTGCATTCCTTCTACTTCAGCCTCCTGAGCTACTGGGAATACAGGCATGCACATCTGCTCCTGGCTACTTTTCTTTATTAGTCTCTTAGAGGCCTTTGTGCCGAGGCTGCCAATTCTTCTTCTCCTGAAGTGTTCTTGGTACCTCCACCTGAAGACAAAATGTCCCTTTTGCACCAATCATTACCCTCAACCCTCATGGGGAAGTTGGGGTCTATTGGTTCTGGTGGTTTTCCCTGCCTTGGGAGCATAAGCCAGACCTGGAGGATGTGTGGAGTTCCTTTTATCATTTAGATATGGGGAGGGAACGGAAATAGATTAGGCCTCTGGAATGAGGTTAATCAGTGCCTGGATGATAATCAGTGCCTGAGTGCTCCTTAGCCTCTTGGGTGGTAGATAGGCCAAATTTCATTGGATTTATGAAAACAGTTAAAGGATGATCAAAGTTGGGTACTACATTTAGGAGTCCCATGAATTATTCTTGGCTACTGCCCTTGGAGAAAGCTCTACCTCATCCCAACATTAAAAAGGTGTCCCCAAAAGCAAACTGGGACTTAATTGTCCTAGGGCCTTTGAGTTGGCTTCTTATCCCTTGCCCCAACCCAAGGCTTCACCTATATTTTGCAATCAATTCTTTGCTGCCAGGCCAGTCCACAAAGGCATTCATCTTCTTGATAAGACTTAGCAGTCGGAAGAGACTTATGGGATTAGAGAAAGAATATGCTCTGGGGAACTAAGTAGAGTGGCACTGGTGCCCACTCTAAGAGCCAGGAATGTCTGGTCACCTAAGCTAAGATCCCTGGCGGATGGCACAGGGATAGTGTAAGTCAGAGATAGCTCATTCCTTGGAAGGATGCGTTGGATGGAATTTGGAATTTAGTCCTAAGATTCTTAAGGTCCTTCTTTTACAGACAACCATGGGAGGAAGAACTACCTCGGTACCCCAGGAGTCCTTGTTGGCTGTATTCTGTGCTACTGGGACTGCTTCAATCTTGAAAACCTGAGAAAGAGCTGCCTCATTTTCTATTGCAATACTGCTTGACCCCATAGCTGCTTAAGGTAGGAGTCTCAGAACAATGGCCTGTTAATGGTAGCCCAAGTTTTAATGCTGTCCTTCAATTGAATCTATTTTGCAAAAGACAAGGCAAATGGATCAGAAATCCCATGCATCCAAGCTTTCATGGTCTTTATACAAAAACCCATTATTATACAAAGACAAAAATCCACCAGTCCCCAGAGAAGCCTCTGTTCCTGCCTCTGATCTCAAACAACCCTCTACTGAGTTGTATCCCTTCTTTTGGGGAACACCAACAATCCCCCCTCATATCACTTACCAGAGGAAATAGATTACCAATCCCCTCCTTGTGCAAACATTCTGAGCCCACAACATACTTGTAGTGGGGCCTGGACCCTCTCTTCTCACCAAAACTATCATAACTCCCAATTACCCTGGCAACAAAATATCAAGACCTTCACAAAGAAAGCTTGCTGAGGGCTATTCAAAGGGTCATAAACTGGCTAAGGGAGCAGAAAATGGAGGCAAAAGTGGGGGGACTCAATTTTCTTAAATATTTAACTCTTGGAGGTGGTCCATGCAGTTCCTACCAGTCAGTCAAAAGCCAAAAGTTGGACCTGAGCGGGACTCTCTGGAACTGCAGGGCAGGAGAGGCACGCCATCCTTCTCTTCTCTGAGAGGACCTGCTCTCTCCCTTGAAGGTGACCCCTTTTTCCTATACCTTCTAATAAACTCATGCCTAATACTCTGAGGGACATGTCTATTGAGGTCTTTCTGACACGATTTCAAGAACTGGGGTTTGTTGGGGGTCTCTATGCTGCTTCAGTTTCACGAAGGCCCATGCCCTGTCACATTTGGTGTTTCTACCCAGTTATACTCAGTTTCCTAACTCTGTTTCTGATTACTTTCTTCATTCAGTCTTTTCTGAACCTCCATTCTTCATCTCAGATTCTTAGTGACTAGAGGAAAAGTCTTGAAATAATTGATGGTTAGATTAGAGCACACTCTAGTAAAAAACGGAATATCTCTTGATTGAAACTCAGATACCACAGCCCTTAGGGATAAGAATTGAGGCTATTGTCCTTGATCTTCTTGGGGGAAAAAATGTTGCCTGATAGCAATTGAAAGATTCTTGGCAAGGGTAACATTCTTGTAGAACCCGAAGGTCAGTGATTATGAGATTTTGAACCCCAATGCCCAGTAGGATAAAGAGTCCTCTTTCTCATCCTCTTCTTCTCTCATCTTTGTCTCTGGACCAATAGAACTTCATGGGACCTGGACCTCATTCAAGGCTCAAATCAGTGGGAACTGTAATTCACACCTAAGGTAAAGAGGTACCCTCCCCATCTCTGGGTCAGGATGCCCTGTTCAATACCCTTTGCCTCCCAGCCTCAAAATGACAGCTTTCCTTACTCCTTAGCTGCCTGATATCTACCCTTCTGAAGCTTGTATCTGCAATGTAAGTTGCATAAGAAATGCCCTAAACAGGTTTGAGACCAGAGGAGAAAGTGTCACTTTTAAATCCAAGCCACTGTGGGACAGAAATGTACTGTTTTACAAGTTTTTCTTGAGAGCCTTTTCCTGAGGTCCAGCCTTTCCCTGAACCCCAAGGGCTCCCACATTCTTTAAGTACCTGGACTAACTCTGATCCAAAGTGCACTCCGGTGTGACATAGATATTACATGTGCTCCTTTACTAGAGCAATCATGGGATGTGTGTCATTTTTTAAAAGCGTCTTTTTTGAGCTCATGGTTTTTCTGATGAATTGATTGACTTTTGGTCCTGCTCACCTGAATTAGTTTGTTTTGTTCTGATTTTTAAAATTTTGTCTTACTGTCATCTCCCCCTCCCCCATTTTCCTTCTGTCTTTATTCAGGGCCCAATTAATCAAGGAGTAACTCTAAAATACACTATAAAAGAAAAGAGATCATCCCTTTCAAAGGGTCCTAAAAAGTAGCATAAATAGTGGTGTTGGTTGACATGGGTCTACCTCATGGATGGACACGTGGCCACCTGAACCATTGGCTCAGTGTGCATACATGGCTGGCAGACCCGGCTCCAACATCCCCAACTGTACAGTCCTCTTCAGGTCTATGTCCTCTATTCTATATTCTATTGTTCACTGTCACACAAAGGACATATGTGACAGGCACTATTTTAATTTCTAAAGGGTTAAATCTGATAGACAAGGTGTAATAAA